TCTATGCTTAATTCACAGCAGCAAGCAATCTTTCTAGCTAAGGTGGCCGATTTAATGGCAAGCACAATTTATTTCCCTCTGGGTAGACAGAAACAGTTGGACTCTAATTCTTAAGAGCCTTTTCTCAGGAACATCTGGGTTGAAACTACTATAGTTAACAGATGATGCTGGCAGTTAAAAAAAAAAAGGCTTTGTATAATGTCGTTGTCAAATTTGGTAGACCTCTACTTAATAATTATCAAGAAAACAATCTTACTTGTTATTACAACAGTTTTATTGCAGATTGCTGGTTTAAGACCCTTTTGTGACAAGTGGCATTTTTTTCTTGGGGGAAAAAAAAAGTCATTTCTATTCCTCTGTAATTATTTTTGCAGCCAGCAACAACTTCCTGCATTGGACATATTGGGACATTTTATTTTAGAAACCGGGAATTAAATTCTTGCTAGCTTATGGCTGATTTCATCCTGTTTATCACATTGTGAAAGCGTCCTTGCTTCTTTCTTACACCCTACCTCACACTAGGCCTCCTTCCCACCCCCTCCCCCGTCCCATATACATTTAAACACTGTAGACTGAGTAAAACCATAGAACTACTATAAGGATTGGATGAGCAAAGCCCATTTTGCTTTACCAAAAAAGGGGTTTGAATGATGCAAGTAAATGTTTAATCTGAGGACATCAATTCTGGGTAGTCTGAAGGCACATTTTTGGGGGCAAACCCCTTGTAACAGGATTTGTAGAGGGTTCCAAGGAGAACCTGCTGTCTGTACCTTAGACTTGTGCTTACATGGTGGCATAGTGGGTCAAAGGCAAAAATTAGATTCCCAGAGCACACTGCTGCTATGATTTCCTTCTACACCCTTTTTTCTCCAATCTTCCTGCTTCTAATGAACAAGACAAGTTAAGAAGCATCTTGTTTCATGATTCTATACTCACTTAGAGCCTTCTCTGCCTAAATTGGACTTTCCTAGTATACCACTTTATCTCTTCTGTATTCCAGCAACTCATGAGGTTCTGCTCCCCATCCTTTCATATATTTATTTAATTAGCATGTATTGAAAGCTTATGCTTTGCACTTTGAAAAATGCCAGAGAGACAAAGCATGTGTCTTGCACTAAAAAAGTTGGGTCTAGAGAGCAGAGAGATGAGTAAATAAAGGATTACCACACAATACTACCCCCACTCCCTTATTTATTCATTTTGATCTGCTCTTCCACACTGGACCCCCCAACAGGGGCGGCACCCCTCCTGCAGCCTTAAGACCAGTACTCTGACATTGGTCAACTCTCTGTGGCATGATCTAACAGAAAACTGATTTTACATTGTTTCTAGTGTAAATTACAAGTTACTCAAGATTGGTATTTTGCAAACATCCAGATGATGCTCTTAGAGCAGGGATTAAAAACTTAGATGCCAGTAGAGGGCAGGCAGTTAGCAACCAAGAGTGAAGAGTGAGGAGGTTGGGGACAATAGGGAGTGGTGGGGACTGTGGCGCATTGGAGAGTGCATGTCCCATCCAGAGGGACAGGTGCTTCAAAGCTCCAATCCCTGTTAGCCATACAAAGTGTAGCTCCTGATTTATCAAGGAAAGCTGAAAAGCTGGTTTTTCTATGAAGTCACCTGTTGGTACCTAATTCCAGTTTTTTAAAAATGCTTTACTGACCAGACAGAACATGGCTGCATGTTGGGCTTCTGGCCACCCCTTAATTTCCTCCGCTTTTACAAGAAACATCTGTTCAGCACTCTGCATGGAGACTTGATTTCCACTTTTGTCATTCCTGCCTAAAAGTGGTTTAACCTTGGACAGATTACTTGATTTTGGCCTTTCGGTGTAAATGCCATTTACCTTAAGCAAGTCACTTTCCCATCTTTGGACCTCAGGTTGTCATCTGTATGAGAAGGGCAGGAGCAGCCGAGCTCAAAGGGCTTGAGTCTGAAAATCTGTGGTGTGGCACTGTTTGTGTAAATTACTTTGCTTATATCACTCTATCCCTCTTCTCTTCAACCCTTTGGCCAGGGAGCAAAGGCTTGTTTTGGGTCAAAGGGCTTCTTAAAAAGAGGCTTCTATAAAGCAAAATAGAATCGCCTTCAACAGGGATTTGAAAGTTATGAAAGAAGACCCAGAGATCTGCTGGCCCTCCCCTCCTGCTGGATTATGAATGTGCACCAGGCCACATAGATTTTATTGACTGTTCTGCATTAGAAATGCTCCTTTCTTTTTATATCTAGTTAGTAAGTAGAATTGTAGTAGCAAGCAAGACATAGTTTGTTATTCCTATGAAGTATTTCTTCTCTTCTCACCAGTAGGATCAGGTCGTTAAAGCAATTAAGATCCTTGATCCTGTGAACTCCCAGAATCCCACACTGAGGTGGTCATTGCTCATAGGGTATCAGCAAATTGGCCTCTTCGTGATCCGTGCTGAATTAACATCAGAATTCTCCTTGAGTTTTTGGCATTTAGCTGCTATTTACATTAGAAAGTGGTTACTTAATCTTAATAATTTGGTTCAACAAATATTGCATAAGCCATCTGATATTTTAAACAATTTAAGCTCCTGAAGTAATAGCCCCATAAAGGGTGCATGTTGGCGGTGCTCTCTGGGACATAAATTAAGAAGAGCATTTTCCCAGCTGTAGTTGGATACGTGGGTTGGTGTTTCGGAAAAATGCATAATCAGCACAAAACCCAGGTCATTAGAGTCTGCTGAAAGGAATCAGAAAACCTGCAAATCACAGCGAGAGCCCAAACACGCCTGGATGGAAGTGGTCCTTTGAAACCTGACTGTTGAAGGCAATATGGGGGACCATGCCCTCACGTGCAGGAATGAGCAAGTGCTCTTATTCCCACAAGAGAGCATGAGGCCTTCAGCAGCATTTTACCTGTAAGCATCACATCCACAAGTCCAGCACATCTGATTAGGGCACCTTGCTATTTAAAACCAACTCAGAGCTTCCCACTGCACTTGGAATCAGCTGCAGACTCCTTGCCATGGCCAGCAAAGTCTTCATGACCTCGCTCCTGCCTAGCTCCCTGACCCAGTCATCATCACACTCGACTTCGCTCACTCGGCTGCAGCTTTGATGGCCCTACTGCAGGTCCTCAAACAGCCCGAGTTCTTCTCTGCCTCAGGTCCCTTGCACTTGCTGTTTCTACTCCCTAGAATGCCCTTCTCCCAGATCCTCTCATTGCTTGCTTCTCCTCATCACGCTCCAGTGCTCTTTGCTTTAGCGTCACTTCTGAATGGTCTTCCTGGACCATCGCAGATGACGCACCTTCCCAGTTACTCTTTGTCCTCGTAGGTGTTTTAGTTTCTGCACAGTACTTGTCTTCATCCGGAAATGTATTATTTGTTCACTTGTATATTTGCTTATTGCCTATCTCTCCCAATACAAAAGAGGCTTCACTGGGGATGAAGATGTTACGTATCCTGTCGAGTACTAGCTGGGGACCTTGGCAAGTTACACGGCCTTTCTGAGCCTTACTTTCATCACCTTAAAATAGAGATATCAGTAGAAGTCTGAATAGCTGGGGTAATATCTCCCTCTCAGGGATACTATGGGGCTTAAATGAAGGCACCAAGGAAGGCCCTGGCCTGCGACCCAGCGCCTCCTCCACCTTCCTATGCTGGAGCTAAATAACCATCAACTCATTTCTCAATCTATCCGTCAACCAATCTTTTATTATCAAAAAGTCTTTAGAACATAAGTGATAATGCCCATTGTAGAAACACAATTATGTATATAATCCTTCTCTTGTGTATGTGAGCATTTATTTCTGAGTATATAAATATGTATTTTCACATAACTGTATCACATTATTTACACATTTGTATCTATAGAATATTATTTGTTGATCTTATACCTTGAAACTTTCTTCAAAATGTCATTTTGAATGCTTATATACACCATATTGGATCATACTTTATTTAACCATTGCCTTATTACTGGATACTGAAGTTGCTTTCAACTTTTTTACTCTATATAAATATTACTACCTTGATTTTTATGCACAAGTATTTTCCTGAGCCTTTTATTATTTTTTTTTAGAATTGAGCCCCAGTCAGTGGAAATCATTTACTGTGCTTGTCTGTATTGGTAGTTCCATTGACAGCACTATGGGGAATTCCAAATAAGTCCAAAACTCTTCAAGTTATGCTGGTGAGGGAGACACAGTTCAAACACATGAGGCCATAGGGAGCCGGCATAGCCCGTATCAGATGGACTAAAGGCTGGGCGATGTGGTTAGACAAAGTTCTGAGAACGGCAAGAAAATCAGAGGGCGGCAGTCGCCGGAAGACCTACACGGGAAGTTAGTTTTGATGTGGGCCTTGGAGAATGGGTCGGGAAGAGAGAAGACATTCCAGGAGGCAGCGTCTGCATCAGTGGAGGCATGGCGGCAGGAACGAGCCAGCCTCAAAGCAACCTGGGCTGCGGGCAAGGGCAGCGGGCAGATGAGGTGAGACAGCGTGGATGGAGCCAGGAGTGACAGGGCCGCAGTCATGAGCTGGGCAGTTACATGGAGGCTAAGGATTATTACCGTCATTCCGAGCACACAGGGGTCTGCTCGGAACAACAATATGAGCCATTTGTACAAAAGACCAAAATGGAATCCAAATAACAGGCCCAGCTGCTCCAAAGACCTACCCCCTCCTGCAGTTAACGTTTTACTACCCAAACGAGTCACTAATGAACCTGGCCCGGCATAAATCCCCAGGCACAAATTCCTGCTTGGGGTCTGTGTCTAGACATCCAGACCTGAGTGCAATTTGCCCTTTGAACATTCAGCGCCGTATCACTAGCGAGAAATCCGCTTTAATGGGGAAGATGGGAGGTGTAGCCCACAGCCTCCTCCCTTTGGCTGGGTGACTGTAGAACCATAGAAGGAGGGGCCCTTGGATAACGACGGCATTAGCTGATCGAAAGGCCGTCACAGTGTTTGTTATGGGGCTCTGGTTCTTCCGAAGCACTGACTGTGAGGTTTGTCTTCTGTCTCGTTGCAGGCTGTGTTTTGTGAAGCTCAAGCTCCTAATGATCGCCATTGAGTACAAGTCCGCCAACCGAGAGAGCCGGTAAGTTTGCTGTGACTCAGCATCCGGCGGATGTTTATGATGGTGAGAGTGCTCTGGGAACGTTTGGTCCACTTCGTCTTTCTTAGACGTTATTTATTTGCTTGGAACCCTGATGCAACACATCGCTGATCCTAGGACACATTTCAAGGCATGCTCAGCCAATGCCTAGAAACTGCCGTTTCTATCCCAGACCCGCCTGGCATCCTGAGTGTCACTGGGCAGAGCATTTCTCCAGGGGAAAAGGATGAGACATTCAAATCTCCATGCAATCGTGCCAACTTTCGTTTTTCACCCTGTCAGCCTTAAACCAGGGACAGACACTGTCCTATAACCCCTTTTCGCGGTTGTGAGCACAAAGCAGGTGGACTCTGGTGTCCTTCGCAGCAGGCATGGGGCAGAGCCATGATGCTCTCTTGATGGCCAAATTACAAGCAGCCTATTGTCTACCGTATGGGCTTCTCCCGGTGCAACCGAAGCCCAGGTGGCAGAATATCAGCTTCGTGTAAATCAGCCAGGAGAGCAGAGCTCAGGGGCAGGAGCCCTCTTTATTTATTTATTTTGTACTTAATTATGTGCAAATCAGGCTGATGAGGGACTGGGTCTGGTGGAAATAGATAACACCCCAGTCAATATATGAGTTCACACTGGAAAAGGGACGCATCACATTAACAAGGAATTTGGTTGATGGAATGCTGTATGTATTACAGATAAAATAGAGATGACTTTTGTCCCCCTACCTCAATGCTTATCGATACTTTTGGAAGAAAGAGAAGTCATTGAGAAAGCCTCAGGCTTTTGTCTTCTGAAATGACGTCCATGGTTTGTTCCCAGCTGTAGTCAGTGCATCTTCCTGTGGATGCCCAAGTGTAGAGTGCAGCTACCCTCCAACACACACCTTAATTACTGAGCGGAGTGAAGGGCGAGACGAGAAGATTCCTGCTAGCATCATTTAAGGAATTTTCATTATCCGGATGAATGACTCAATCAAGGCAGACTTCCAAATGTGCAATCTGTGCCTATGACCAAAAAAACACTGGATTGTAAGAACATCAATCCAGTGTTCTCTGTTACCTTAACCACCAGATCAGATTGTGCACAATCTGATTCAATGGTAAGCTATTTTGAAAATCCAAATCAACCAAAAGCAAGAAAAACATGGTAGATTTGGTGGCCATAGGGTAGAACATGGCCACAGCAATGAACAAATATGTAGGTAGATTTACTTTTTCCTTCCATGTTGGCAAAGTTAAGAATATTATTTGCAAAAAGCTGAGTGTCCTGGCTATTTGCTGTTCAACAGATAACATGGATGTTTCTGGGACTGCTGCTTGCCCATGTTGCTGCCAATAGTCGCCTGTACCTGTCTAGGGGAAAATGTGTATCCTGGGTTTTTGCAAATGATATTCTTTGTATTGCGAAGTCAGTAAATCTTTGTGGAATTCAGCATTCCCTCTTTATCACTTCTGTGCATCTCTCAAAAAAGTGTCATGACGCTCCACCGTTCTGGCATAATTTCATGGCAGGTGACTGTACCCGGAATGAACCTTGACCAGTCATCCCCCACCTGCCACTTTTTGGTCATAAGGATGGGAAGAGAAAGGCTGTTAATGGTTGAGTGTGAATACACTGTCGCCATTCTCATAAAAACAACTCAGATCTTTTCCTGAAGACGGAATCTTTTCTTGGAATGACCCTCTAATTAATTCACAAATTGGACATGTTTTCAACAAAGCCCTATTTTCAGATAGAGTTTTTTAGATTCCCCCCCCCCTCCAGGAAAGGGTGAAAAGAATTTGTTTGGCTTTGTTTTGGCTTTCTGTGTTTCGTTGCCAGCTTTAACCCTCAAATGTGGCTTGGTCTCAGTGTGGAAGCTCATTGGTTCTTGTGGAAAAAGGTGTGTTTGAGGGAATGTGGATCACGCCTCTGAGAAAACACAGGACTTACCAAACACAATAGCCATGCTTAAAAGTATCAAGTGTTTGGGGCCAGCCGAGTGGCTCAGTTGGTGAAGAGCTCGCTCAAGAGTGTGAGCTCTGAGCAACAGCGTTTCGATTCCTGGCCTGAGCTGAGCTGCCACTGAGCTACCAACAGGTGGCAGGATGGCTCAGCTAAAAAACAACCCCCAAAAAACCGAAAAGTATCAAGCGTTTGACCCTTCCTGAGAGAATAATTTTGATTGTTTTTCTTCATTTAAAAAGTTCCCATTTATTTTCCACTCACATTTTCTAAGTGACCTGGTGTTAAGATCCGGAAACCCCTGCTTCTCCTGCCCATGACCCTTGCCCCCAGCCTGCGTTGAACCTTTATCTTTTATTGTTTCACCCCATGATACTGTTGCCATGCTTTGCTGAGAAACCTTGTTTTCACATGCATCCTTCAAATAATTTGAAACAAAGGTTTTATTTCTTCTTTCCCTCTGGTGTCAGTCAATTTACTATCAAATTGTTTGATTTTAAATTCTTTTTTTGTCGTTTTGCAGAAGCCGAAAGCGGTATGCACCCTTCGTTAACTTTCCTCCCAACCTCCACCCTCTATCTTCACTTCTAACCACAGGATTAACCATTTGCCAGGAATCCAGGAAGATGGAGATTATATATATGTGCATATGTATATATAATCTCATTTCCTTGTCTAGTGTATATATATATTTATATATGTATATTTATATATAAACCCCTCTCCAACTAGAGTACATAAAAATCAAAAGTAGCATATTGCTTTTCTTGTTTGATTTGTTGTTTCTTTGGGATGATGCACTAACTTCTTCGCAGGAAACCTAAAAAAAAAAAAAAAAAAAGGCATGATCCTGTTTTCAGTCATGGCACCAAGGGTGGGAACAAATGCTATTCAAGTTGAAAAGGAGGACACTTCTCTCCAGCCCTTGGTGTCTGTGTCCTGTCCCGATGTGTCTTGGTGTCCACCAGCCTCTGTGGTGCCATCTGTCTACATACCACATCCATATTCCCAGTCACCTGTTCCTCCCCGTGTCCAGTTTCCTGTGTGTAGAGCAGAATTTGCCGTCCTTTTATCCACAAAACAGAGACCAAGTCCTTCTTACACTTAACTCTTCCTTACGCTTGTTTTGATAACATTTTGCCTGTTTTCTTTCTTGGACAGTACTCAATACAGACCTAGGACACTGCTATTCAATTGCCAGATTATCACATCTGATTTACTGAATGAGTACTGTTTGTTGAGATGAACTTATGGCTTTATGTTTTTCCTAGTGTGTTTGGGCTTATTTCTTAATATAAAGTACCTCAACTCTCACCACCTGACCTCACCCTGTTTTGCTGCTGTTATATGTTGCATGAAGCATGACCAACGTCTCATCAATCGTTTTTTTTTTTAAAAACTTTTTGGGTTAACGTTTCCCGGGTAGCTTTTCAGTAATGTGTTCTCTAAGGAAGTATCGTTGAAAACATACTGTTGAGATGCCTATTTGTTCATCTCCTCCAGAGTTGTTTTTCTCTGTGGTTGTAATCACTGTCACATGTTTGTGTTCGTAATCGTGTATGTGTGTGTGTGTGTGTGTGTGTGTGTGTGTGTGTGTATGTGTGTATGTCTGTGTGTAACTCTTTCCAAAGTCAGATTCTTCTGTGATGTTTTGAGTAGATGTGTGAGCATAGAGGTGGCTTCCTGTCAGTTTGGTATTATTGAGAATGATCCAACTGCAAGAAGTTACTGCAACACTTCGCATCTTCAAAAGTCCACAGTGGTTGCACCTCTGCTGTTGGCTTTTGGCCTTTGAGTCCTTTTATCTTGTGGTGAATGCATGTTGTGGTGGAGGCATGACTTGTCCTAAAGTGTACCAGCAAGTGACATGGCTTGCTCCCAGAACCAAATAGCCAGCATAGGCCTTTCCAAATGAACTATCGCGTCCCCATCCCATATGGGCACTGTTTGCCTTATGAGCAAAATCTATTTTAAAATGCCATTTCTAAAATGATGACGATGGGATCAGGATATGCAAGTCCTGGTCCATGTTATCAGTGGTCCACAATGGCGGTCACTTGGGCCTGACCACCTGGGAGCAATCTTTATGATGCTGTCTCTGTCAACGAGCTTACGTATAGTGAAGTGTGGAACGCACACTGTGGAAACTGTGTGTCTAGTTGCGTGGGACTCCAGCAGCATGTATTTTAATGCCCAGAAGAAATGAAAATTTCCAGAACGACAGTAAGATTTAAGATTTGAGGTTTCTGGAGGCTGTGCCCTAACACAGCCCATAAACTGCAGGGCAGTTGTACTCCCTGAGAGGGGAAACAATTAGTTCAAATAAAGTCCCACCCACATAGCAATAATATATAGCCTTGTGTGGTCAGCGAGACTGCTTTCGGTGGCGTGATTCCTCTGGGCACAGCATGAGCTGAAGCCCTAGATGGTTCTTATTATCCTCTTGCTCTAGTTAATGAAGTCCCATTAGCTTGCTAGACACAGATATAATTACCATATTATCAAGTACAAACTGTGTTCTCATGTGAGTGATATTTTTGTAATTGCTTAGGGAATGGTACATTACACCTACCTGAAATTGAGTGGGGGAGGAGAGAGATACACACCTGTCATATGTATCCGTAATGGATAAAAGTTTCCTTTAACAAATATCTGTTTCAGTGGCATTACTAATCATTGGTTGTCTTCAAAAGCAGCAAACAAGTGAAGTTTATGCTAATTGAAGAAGAAATAACTAGATGTTTCCTAGTTGTTATGCATAAGTGGTGGAGGAAGGGAATAAATCATTTCGCCCCATCGAGCCCCAAATCTCCATCCTGGCCGAAGTTCAGCAAGAGATACACAACGAAATGGGTTACAGCTTGAGACCAGGCTCCTGCAGGAACCCGGCAGGGACATTTCCCTAGTGGACTGAGCCCCGCTAGCCAGGTTCCTGGAGTGTGTTTTATGTTTAGGAACACGTATCTCAGTTCAAAGGGAGTGGTGTTTTCAATATTGAAATCAATTGCTCCAACTCCCCAAGTAGCTAGCTGTTTATATATTTGTATATTTACATATTTACACTTAATGTCTCTGGGATATTGTCAGCTTGCTTTCCACCCGCCTAGAGGAGGTGTGGTTGCTTCTTTGGCAGGCCTGACTGATAAGAACTGCAACTTGGTCTTTGAAAGAACAGCTGTGACTACCTTTCTCCTTACTCGACAGGGGAAGGAACACTTTTGGAATTGAGACCAATGACATATCTTTCACTCATTCCACCAATAGTTGAAAAGTGCCTATTGCATGCAGGGCTCTAAGCTGGCTACTATGAGACACTTATTTATAAAAGTAAACTTAGTTATAAAAACAGTATGATCATGCTTTTCACTGCTTTACTCAACTATGAGTTCCCTACAAAAAAATATACAGTAATACTTTGGTTTGCGAGCGTAATTCGTTCCAGAAACAAACTACTCGTATTGCAAGACATCGCTCGTTTACCACGTTAAAATGTATTAGAAATGTTTGCTCATCTTGCAGAACACTCGCAAACCACGTTACTCGCAATCCAAGGTTTTACTGTATATCTGCTCCATGTAGTGGGTGAGGAGTCAAAGAATCAGTTTCAATACGAGGCTCAGAGCGAAAGAAAAAGAGAAAGCCAGAATCCTTGGGACCACACCAGCTTTGTGCCTCCAGCTGTCACTGAATGTTTTCAGTTGAAATTAACAAGGTCATAGGATAAAGAAGATAATTTATAGGTTTTTGGAAATGAGGGAAAGTCCACTCCTGCCAAGAAGATGTCCCTGTCGGAATTCTGCTAATTGATAAATGGACGTTTTTTGTAGAGATTTTCTTGATTCTTCACATGACACATCTTGAAGTTTATCTCTGATAAGCGAGTGAATTAGACAAAACTGGAGCCAGAGACTGATTTAAAGGCATGCGCAGGGAGGGAGACTTGGCAGTCATGAAAACAAACAAACTTAACATTGGGTATTTTAAGAGATCAAAGATCTTTGGGAAGATTTACATATCCCCATTAGGAAGTCAATAACATATTCTCAGGGTAGTAGGCACTTTGCAGGGGAAAAAAATACTTCTGTCTAGGATCCTTATCTTTTCATATTTTCAAAAAGAAGAGGGTTAATATTTTATTTAAACTTTCTAGATTTGGAAAGTATATAGAAGGCTTAGTGTTTAAAATATCAAGAAGAGTAATATATTTCCTCCAAGAGTCTTTGAAACTTTGTTTCAAATACACAGGGAGTATTATATGCAGTGGTCCCCTGCAAGCATGTGCACTGTGCTTCTTTACCAAACCCTTAACTATAATGAGTGGAATCCAGCACAGGGAGCATCTTTATGTATTGTATCTAGATTTCTTTCCCTCATTATTCTCAAGTGCTGGGCTCATTCTTTCCATCCCCACCCAGAAGGCTGTGTTACTCTGATACAGCTGCAAATAATGCAGCTCCATGCTTCACTAGAGGTGATTTAAAGCCTCTCACCCCTGTGCAAAAGAGAACAAGAGGACATCCTAGAATCACGTGGTCAGTGATGTCCTTGGAGGTGCTTTCTCTCAGTGCTTTACGCCATCAGCCATAAGGTTTAAGGAACAGAGAGGTGCTCCACTGTGCAGCCAAAAGCCAGTCCAAATTAGCCCATCTCCAGGAGTCTTGCAGGAAAAAAATGTTTCAGAACTGCCATCAGTAAAAAGGTCTTTCAGTGCCAATAGGGTGCCTCCTGGGTAGTTTCTTAGGACCAAGGACAAAATGGAGAGCTGTGATGCTGTGAGAGATTATTTATCTCTCGTGTAGTTATTGTAATTACCTGCTCACTGTGAAAAGTGACCATGTATTAAGGATCTACTATGTAGCAGCCACTTAGCACATAGTTATGTACTTACCCTCTTAGCAACACTGTAAGGTAGTGATACTCACCCATTGTACAGATGAGGAGAATGAGGCTTAGCGACATCCACATGCCCAAGTCCAGGACCTGAACCCACAGGCCTGACACATGTACCTGCTTGCCTAACCAATATCAGCACCGATATTGAACACACATCTGCCTTCCACCAGTGCCCAAATCTTTCCTCTCCATCACATTGACTTGACTAAAGCAAGCTTGAGGGCTGTAATAAGTGACCTCAGCTTGGAGTCTCTGGAATGATGATCCCAAATTCTCACTGTAGGCCAGTACTTGTTCACTGTTGATAAAGAACAGAGGAAATGATTTTTCATTGATAGGAACCTCACTGTGACCACTATGACACAGTGGGATCAATCATTGCTATGCAATTAATGAAGCACATAATATAAAAAAGGGAGCCCGGGTTCTGTGTGAGCCTTGTTTTGTGGATATATGTCACCAAGCCATGGATGAGTGTCAGATTTCTGCTTTTGAATTGCATTGTTGAAATTATGATAGGATTTTTTTTTTCACTGAGAAGCTTTTTTTACCTCATATGAATACATGTCAACATGTAGCATTTTTCAACTTTAACGAATTAGCTCCTTTAGAGTCCAGAAGTATCTGGAATTCTTCATTCTGTCCTTGTCCATCATTCTGGAGTGTGCAGGTCTTCATCCTGTAACTTCATCTCAGATGGCTAGGATGTTTTGTTCGAAGCTGTGTATTACATTTCATGGGGCCAGCTAAGGAAAATGTGATAATTCCTTTGAAAGTGAAATACCCTTTTGGGGTTTTTTTGGCAATCACAAATAATAAAAGGGACAATAACCACTAGGCATTGAGCCTTCTATCCATTGTCTTGCTTAATCTTCTGAAGAAAGACTACAATTTTCGTCATCCCCATCCTGTAGGTAGGGAAATTTAGTTCCAGGGAGGTTTAGTAACTTGCCCAATGTCAGCTACTGAATGGCAGTGCTGGAATTTGAACTTGGTTTCTGCTTGCAGAACCAGGGCGTGTAAGCACTGCCTTGCAGCAAAGGGGGTAAGAAAGTATTTGTGAAACCCACATGCTGCTTTCTTTCTAAAACATTGCATTGAATTGGCTTTAAAAAGGAATCTGTCCAAACTGTGTATGCTCTGGCCATTTTCTCCTTGGGATCATGAAAAGTCAGAGGGCTATTAGACAAATGTGACGAGTTGGTGGAGGGCAATCAGGAGGTGTGTGGACAGCACGGCTGCCCTTTACAAGCTGCTCTGTTAGTGTGGCCTGCTGCTTCCCGATTTGTCAGGAATCTCATTGATGCCTGGGGTTCTTGGGCAGAACAGCCGAATCTTCATGAATTCTTGTTATTATTTAGTGTTAATAATAGCGATCACACAGGATTGGGCTCCTTCTGTCAGATCTTGTTATGGGTAATAGTTCTTGTGACCACAAACAATTATTTTTCAGTAATGACCTACTCCCTTCTCCCAACAGAATAAAAGTTCACCTGGGTCCTTCCTGTATTGCTACAAATGCACCATTCTGTTGGCCGCAGCACTTTTCTGGAATGGTTTTACCAGCAGAAAAGGATTGCATGTGAATCATCCTCCTCCATTTTGATTGTTTTAGACAGGGAAGGACTTCCTTTAGCCTGACTTCAAACATCTATTACACTCTAAACACCTGCTTTTCAGGTCAGACTCCCTGCATTGTATCTATTGCTGCGCTGAGAGCCCCTACATTGTGCAACCATTCAGCCCAAAGCCTCATCTCAGGCTGTGCACAGAATTCCTGGATTCTGCTTTTAATCTGCCAAAAATTGAGCTTGTTTGTTTCATCCATTTATTAGATTAGGATACATTTATCTCTTCTGTCAGTCCAAACACAACTTGGTCAACTAATGTGTTTACACCATTTTGGAATAAGACAGTGTATACTTAGGTTCATACTTCCCTGCAGGGGAAATTTTTTAAGTATAATTTACTTTTGTTTTCTAATTATAGTTTTCCCCAATCAGGACGTACTAGACATGCACCTTATTCAAACACTCCCATACACTTTTGTAAACAGCGGACTGGAATAATTAAGTATTTCCAATCGCTGGCATTTTTCTTTTTCACTCTTCTGGTAAATCTAGCTCTTTCTACATAGGTTGCACAAGGAATCTACTTCCATGTCCTTATCAGTATCATGCAGATGTTCTGTTTGCTTCTGCATTGGTTATGGGTGTTTTGTACCATTCCCTGCAGTGAAATGTGGTGTGTATACATGTATGTTCCTGTATGCATATAGGGGTCCCATTAATGCTCTGTCATCTAACAGAAAATTGGTGTAGCAATAGGTTTATTAGACCAATAACGCTCGATGTTGACCATCAACAGCAGTTTCCAAAGGGGTACGTTATTAGGAACTTTGCTTCAAAGTAAAAGCCCATGATGGCAACCCCATTATACAAACCTGGCCCTAAAAACCTAGATTTGCTTTGATTTATGCAACTGGGAGTGTGCCAACCTGGGAACTGAGCAGCTGAGCTTTCTGATGACATTATCTAATTAAATGTGTGGGACACTAGACATCAGGCCCTGGACAAAATCTTTAGGGAAAGCATTAGACTAGTGGGCCCCCTATACAGTTAACAGTACGGTGTAGCCTTTAAGGTTTTACTTGGAACATGAGCTCATCAATGTGTCTTCTTTGTTTGTTTTTGTTCACTGAGCAGTATATTAATTAACCCTGGAAACCATCTTAAGATCCAAGAAGGTACTTTAGGATTTTTCATCGCAAGTGATGCCAAAGAAGTTAAAAGGTAAGAGTTTATTTTCACCTGCCTTCTTTTCTATGCCAGCCATGGATATCTTGAGTCACCAATGTGGGCATGTTTCCATATGTACAGGGCCCCAGCTCCCAAACTTCTTAGTGTGTCGGTGGGCCAAATGGTGCCAAATCTCAGGAAAAAGGGATTGTGCTTTCAAATGCTTCCATGCACTCCTCTTCACATCTTTGAATTAGAATAACACTTTGGAACTAAGAGGGCCTAGTTACTTGTTCCTCTATTTCCCAAGGGAGGGAATTGAGTTCCAGAGCGCTGAGTGATGGTTCAAGGTCATCCTGACGCTGAGTAACCCAGAACAACATAACAGAGGACAGCTGGCTCCTCATCTGGTGTTCTTTACTTAATTATTCAGGCAAATTTACTCAAGAATTATCAGTTTTCTACTTTAAGTGTCAAAGGGAATCTCCACAGAGGTTTGGATTAATTTCCGATGAAATGCTAAACTGGGTATATTTCTATTTGGGGTCTTCTAGGTAAATCGCTGAGATTCTCAGGTTTGATTATTAAGCCCCTGTGGGTACAGCCCAGGATTTCTTTGGCCTCAATGTTCTATGACACTTATATTAGTATCTTTAAACCTGTTTAAGCAGCCAAGGAAATCCTAGGGCTCTTTGCAGAACACCGTGGAATACTGTTATATTTGATTCTACCCTATGAACTAGGAACAATTTACGAGCAGAAAATTGTGACTCAGATGATCAGATAGGTCACTCCACTCAACAGTAACATTGCATCAAATATTTTAAATAAATCATTAATTGGGAAGGTCCACACTTATTTATTTAAGCCTGTTGTCTTCATTTAATGAGCTCCTACTCAAAGCCAGGCCTGTGCTAGGGGTTCTACATTCTTTATTGCCACTCCTCAAAATAACCTTGTAAGGTAAGTCTTCTAAAACACTGAGGGCTTTGGTTTCCTAATCTGCAAAATTGAGATAAATGCCCAAGCCACGGAGCTCGTAAACAAGTGGCAGAGTCCGGATTGGAACTTGTCTTTCCTTTTCCAGAACGCACACTTTCTACCAAATTTAATACTGCTAGCAAATTCTATATAGAGTTTAATGTGTGTCAACACTGTTCTAAATACCAGGTACCAAGTATTGACGAACTCATTTAATCTTCTAAACACCTTATGAGATATATAGCATTAGTATTCCCATTTTACATATGAGGAAACTGAGGCACAGATTGGTTAACTAACTTGCCCAAAGCCACACTGGTAGGGAGTAGTAAAGCCAGGATTTTAAACCAGGAAGTCTGGTTCCAGAGCTGACTTTCTTAATTGTTTGTAAGAGGTAAGCCTGACATGCTGAGCACAGAACTATGATATTTGACAACTGATGTTTAGTATTTTCTCCCTCGTCAACCACTCTTGCAAACTAGCCACGGCCAGTTATAAAAGCTTTCAGGAAAAAAATGGGTAAAAGAGACAAAAAAAAAGTATCCTTAAAGCTAAACTGTCTAATGACTTAAGTTTACTTGCACACATTGGGAAAGGATGGCCGTCATTCAAGTGTGTGTGGGAGAGGACACCTCCTTATCTAGTGCATGGATGCCCACTGTTCTGCAGAGCACCCCAAGAACTGGATTCACCCGAGAGAAAGGTGGGGAGGAATGAGACTGAAGCCTCCCCAGGTTGTGCTCACATCCAGACTGAGACACAAAAGCTGGAAGCAGCATCTCAGCACCACGAACAAGGGGCTGGGAGGCACAGCGGCACCAGAGATCACGTGCATCTTGCACGTAGCCAGTACAATGTGAAGATCCCATTTGTGTAATTCTGTTTCCTATTGCATCTCTCACTAATGAATGTCACAAACGCCAGGCAGTCCAGAAAACAAATTACCTCCCGTATTAGGGAGTGCAATATGTCTCATTCCAGTGCTTTATGGTATTCACGAATACATGCTGACAAAATCAGCTATAGCACCAGCCTGTAATTTTCCGTGGTGTGGGATGTGGCAGAGCAAATGCTGTCAGTTAGGGGATTTCAAATAGATGAAGACTGCAGAAAACCACAGAAGGGACATTGGAGATTTGAAGGAAACTAAACAAGTTTTGTAAAAATGGAAAAGTAGATCATGATCCTTTAGTATTGAGTTTACACCCTTTGTTGCAAAAAAGCAGCAAAAGAAGTTAATGGATTCTGGCTCATAGAAACTTTCAGATGTAATGTTTGGGGGAAAAGACCATGATGATTGAAACCATCCAATTGCAGTCTTAACAAGATCACTTTGGGATGAGCATTTGGGCCCTTGTCCTTTTTCCCTTGCCACTAAATATTTTGCTTTTAAAATAACCTTAACATAGTCTTTAATATAAGAGTCATAAAGTGGTGCCTCATTTACTCAGTTTAGCTTGTAGACATGATTCATTTGAGTCACAATTAACAAAAAATAGCCCTCAAGTTGAAGAAGCCCTAATCTTTTATATAAAAATCCTTATTACAGGTCTCTCCTGAAATACTTGCAGATCCAGCATTACTGGGCAGCTTTCTCATACTCATTTGTTCATCAAATGTCACTTTCTAGGACACTCTGTACTAGGGTTAAGCCAGGGAAATGGTGGTGAATAATGGAGACAAGTGCCTGCTCTCCTGGGCTCATGTTCTAAGGAGGAGAGAATTGGAGTTGTGTTTATTCATGGTGCAAAGAATGAATGCATCTGGGTCATTGATTTAGATGGGAACGAGTTACACACACACACACACACACACACACACACACACACACATTTTTCCTTCTTTTACACTCCTCTTCCTCACTCCATTTCCATTTGCATGGCTAGCCCTTCTCATCCTTAAGATCTCTGCATAAATGTCACTTCCTTATAGAAGCACACTTTCGTCGATCAGTCTAACTGAACAGGTACTACCTTCTGTTATCATCCATCCCTTATGCCTAGCTGTTATCTTTTTAGACATTATCATCATTAGCAATTATTTATGTTTGTTAAATCATTATTACCTGTCTCTGCTAATAGATTCTGAACTCAAAATAAATGGACAAAAAAGAATAGAGACTTGATTTGAGCCTTATGCAATTGGGTAGATGACAGCTCCATCTTAATGTGATGGGGAAAATGGGAGGAGTAACAAGTTTGGGGTGGTAGGGAATTAAGAATCCTAACTAGGCTGTGTTAGGTAGGAGATATGTACTAAACATACACATGGAGATGTCATCAAGACAGTTGGATCTAAGGTTCTGGAGTTCTAGGCAAAGGTGAGGGCTGGAGATGTAAACTTGGGTACTGCATCCGTGTGGGTCCTGGCAAGAAACACATGACACACTTACATGGAGAAAAGGAGAGTTTTATGAAGAGAATCTCTAAAATTGTGGGGTGAGACTTAAGCATAAGCAACAAGGGATGGCAAAGCGCCCCATTGTTACCAACAGAGGGGAGCCACTTTCAGCCCTCGGGGAACATGGACTGTCAGAACCAGACAGAGATTGTAGTGTAGTCAGGGCTGCCTCACAGGAGCTGCGTCCTTCGGTAGATAGATGGCGCCACTACCATTTTAAGACCTGGCAGGGAGGAACTCATCACTCCTACCCTCCAGTCTCCCGCTGGCTGCCCCTACTGGCCAACCACAGTGAGAAACCATAGCACAGGAGACCCTAACGGCCAGCCTTTTGGGATGCAGACCTGGTCTTCCTGATGATGTCTGTGGCAAAGCCACCAACTGAAGACTGCTTGAGGAAGGTGTGGGTGAGAGGGGGAGGAAGTGGAGAGGAGAGCCGAGAGGGCTGAGACAGGAGGAGGAAATATGGCATCGATTCTGAGGAGTGTAGGAAGGCCCCTGGAATCCACGGCCATGGAATTCAAGTGAGATCAGTCAGCATGATTGTTTCCTTTCCCCAGCAGCACTCAGCTGCTCAGGTGCAGGTGTGCAGTAAGGCAGGGGCTTTGCCAGATGGGCATGTGAGAGGCAGAGATGGATGAGGAAGAGAATGGTGCAGTCAAAGAAGTGCCACTTGACAAAAATCACCTGGAGCTTAGATACTCCGCCCTCTCCAGTTGGGGAATGTGTCACCAGGTCACCACAGACCCCCATCCTCACCCCATTTTGCTCATTAACTTTACCTGTCTGCCCCTATGGATATTTCACTTTTAGAATCCAGCTTTAATTCCTGAAGTAATCATACTTTATCTTTTCAACAGTCTATTCAAATTCATCATCATTTCATCATCTCTTTAGTAGAGATGTGTTTAAGATCTTGGACTCTGGGACTAGACTGAGTGGATGTGAGTCCTGGCTCTGCCACTCAGCTGTGTAACCTTAGGCAAGTAGCTTAACTTCTCTGTTTTTCACTTTTCTTATCCGTAAAACAAAGATAATTAGCATATCTCCTTCAAAGGATTGTTTGAAGTTCAATACATTAATACTTATAAATTCTTAGAACAGTTCCTGGCCTACAGTTTGTGCTCCATAAATGTTAGGTATTATTATTATTAATATGTGTAGTAGCATCAAGTGAGGGAGAAAACGGCCAAAGGAAGTGGAAGCAAAACCGCTTCCTCCTTTCCTGCCCTTCCCCTTTCAAGGCAGGTCATCACTGATTGCCTTCTTAGCCATATTGCCACCAAGGGCGAACAATCAGCCACCTTTTCTTTGTTTGCAACCTGGATGAAAACTGGCATTTAAAGAAATAGTGGATGAGCTGCTAGGCTGGGAAGAGCATGGGGCTTGGCTCGAGATGTCCTGGGGCTGGCCAGGTTCCAGCACAGGATGACTGTAGGCAGGTCATGACCACCTCTCCCATTTACAGATGAGGACACTGAGCTCCAGGGACTTCGGTGCAAGATCTCAGATATCTTTCAAATCCCAAAGTCTTACCAGTGGCTTCCAAGTGTGCCCATCATAAGTGTAAGCCCTGTGAAAAACATAAAAAGGAACCCAGAAATAAAGCAGCCAAGGATTGTGTTTAGTTCTTTATAGCCTTGGTCAAAGAAGGACCATGTTTATCCCAATTTTGTGTTGGGAGCGGTGAAGGTGTTAAGCCAGGGATTATGTGAGTCCCTGGACCCAGAAGGCTGTAAGGTTGTTCCAATGAATTTTATCACCTCCCCAGTACTGAAGGCACACAGGCCTCCAGTGCTGTTTTTCTGGGCCCTGTGCATTTTAAACAGTGCTTGAATGACCTTAGTTTGTCTCGTCCAGAATGGCCAATGCAATTTATCATCACATAGCGGCACGTTAGTCAGACGAGGGGGGTTTTCCTGTGGATTGATTGCTTCCGCTGGGTCTCCTTCTACCCACCCCAAACCTGTAATACCCACTGCCCACCCCACTCCAGTAGTGAGCTTCGCTGTGCTCCATAGTAAGAAGAAAACCTTCATTTATTACATGTTCTCAAGGCTGGATAGTATGGAAGTTGGTCCAGTCAGTTTGGGAGTAAATATGGGCTATGGAATCTCAGAAAGAAATTGACAGAGGAACCCCTTGATTCATCACTTTTGATTTTGCCTCTCTGCTCTCCTCCTCAACCTCTGTCACTTTGGCTGAAAAGAAAAAGGTGCTTTCAGTGGGACAAGGCAAATATGTTTATTTGACTGAGGAACGTCGTCCTTTGTGCCCCTTTAATATATAGTTAACCAGGCTGAGGATTTCAGAGGTGTATTTAACTTCCCCACCCAGGGCCCAGAGCTGGTTGCCCTCATGTCCTGAGAAGCAGCAGTGAATGTCGTCCTCAAAAAGAAAAGAAAAGCGAGCAGACCCAGTGTGTCACATCAGCAACCTTTCCCCCAGTTCCTTTTCAAATGGAAGTTTATTAAAAGAAGCACTAACTCAAATTGCAGAGACCTGTGTGTTTGAAATAAATGGTCTTGCAACAAACATTTCCGTCTGTAAACGTCTAAACCTTTCAAAAGATTAAAGGAAATTGGTGCTGGCGTGTTTCATTAATTTGGCACCACAGCGGAGGAAATGTGGTACTCATTTCATTTGGGTGGATTATGAAATGTGTCAGTTTTTCCATTCTCTTTCTCCAGGGCATTTTTTTACTGCAAGGCCTGTCATGATGACATCACAGATCCCAAAAGAATAAAAAAATGCGGCTGCAAACGGCGTAAGTAGTGTTTCTTTCCCCCCTACTTCACTCCCTCCTCCCTTCTCCCCAAATCCATTTCCCTTCTCCTTTTCCTATTAAAGAAACACTAAACATCAAGAATTTTCTTGAATATGTTTATGTTTCACCCAGCAGTTTATAGAGACATGAAATAAATACCTGTCTTCACTTTATTAGAGCCGAGGTTGAAAAATCACCACTATCGACACCTAGGCGTAAACCCAAAGCCTAACCCCACTCCTTGACTCTAAAGGGATGCTTAGGTAGAGGTGTCCAGTTGAACACAGTACATAAGTACGGCGTGTGAAATGGAGGACAGCTAAAGCCATGGAGGACGAGTGTTTTTGCAGTGGTTTCCAGTGGATGGGGTGCTGCCAAGTGTAAAGATGGCTGTACTAGGGCAGAGAGGGAAACTGAGTCTGAGGACTCAGTCTCTTAGGAGCTGACTCTCTTTCCATTTGGGATTGCTGCAGGTTTTGATACCAAAGGCCATAGCTTTCAATCGTGACACCTTCAGACTAGCCCAGAAAGAACTTGGCCATCGCCAATGGACTTTATTTGTCATTGCCCCAGTGACCAACCTCAAGCACCATTGCTCTTTGGGGTGACTAGATTGGGCTTAGTAGCTTCTGGCATATCCTGTTTCAAACCCCTCCCAAAGCAGCTTGCCATTGGGGCCTCTTGAGGAAGATATAGGAAGTCAGGAATATTGGATTGTGAACGCCAAGGAAGCCAGGATTTAAAGTGGGCTCTGCCTTGTGGATGCCAGGCCTTTTGCAGCGATTGTGTTGCATTGCCTGATAGAAATTCTTCCCAACCATAGAGAAAATGGTAATCATGACACCTTCCTTTCTATAGTGATTTAGTGTTTTTAAAGCTTCTTATGATCTTGACTTTCTCTGATCCTCACCATAATCCTGCATAATTGGCAGGGGATGTTATTCACCCCATTTTACGAAAAGAGGGAAGAAAGGCTGCACATTTAGTGAGAGGATGAGATTGCCGAGAGCCACGCACACCCAAAACGGGGGTTCAGGCTTACCCGAAGGCCTCTCTTGATGCTGTGCCCTAATCCTTTCCTTTAGGAGGAAGGTCAGAGTGGGTGGCCTGGGTTTAATAAGCAAGAACACAGTTATAAAAGGTCATCCCATAAAATACTTTTTCACAGCAGAAACCAAATGAGCAGCCTCCCTAGGCTTTGCCTTCCAAAGCAAGGGCTTTATTCAGTGCCCTCCACTGCACAGTGAATGTAAAACCCATCAGTATGAACACTGCTCTGCTGGATCATGGAGGAGACACTCAAACTTGGGCAAATAGCACTCTTGGTCTAGAGCAGTTTCTGTAGAAATCCAGTCAGGCTTCTTCCTAAACTGGGGCAGCTTGGGTCCGCTGCTTTGCCTGCCCCCTTCTCTATTGACTTAACACACAGGGTTCCCCTCCTCCCAACTCAGACACCTCACCAAGGTGAACATTTATTGAAAGCTCAGAACAAGAGCTTCTAACTTCTCTTAAGAATTCCCTGATTCTGACAACCAAGCAGGAAGAGTGTCTAAGGGTGTGGAAGGCACAGAACAAACCCACTCCCCAGCCTGTTCCCCCAACTCCATGACTCGCAGAAACAGCTCTTTTCACCAGGGGCTTCATTCCAATCACAGCCATGCTCTGTTGGTTGTGAGCAGGAAGCACAGCTCAGCTGACCAGGCATCTCCCAGATCAGGATCAGGGTCAGGGTCAGGGTCATCTCCATCAGAAGAAGCACACCATCCCGAGGTGGAAATAAACAGAGAGAGGAACAAATGCGAGAGGCTGAACTTTGTGCGGAAACTCGCGTAGTGGTGGGGAATGAGAAATGCAGGAGAGCCTTGAGGCCAAGAGCTAACACAGGATGTTTGCCAGAGAACCTGGTCCCGTGGGGGTATCAGTGAAATTCACTTACTGGTTAACCATTCACATAGTTTTGAGTACCTTCTTTGTACAAGGTGCTGTTCTTGGTGCTAAGGGTGGAGTGGTGAGCAAGACAAAGTCCGTGTCCCCACTGAAGCCTTCACTCTACTAAATGGAGACAATAACCACAGAAACAATTACATACATTCAGATAGAGACAAGTCCTGTGGAGAGATCGGAGGCGACCTGAGGGTGTGAGGAACCGAGTAGAGATGCTGGAAAGATCTGGAAGGTCCCCCTTGGAAGGTGGCATTGATGCTGAGACCCATCCAGTAGGCAGAAGAGCAAGGGCCAAGGCCAGGATGCAGAAATAAGTGTGCAGTGTTTCAGGGAAGCAGGCCGGTGGGGCTGTGGGGTTGGGGAGAGAGTGGTACAAGATGAGATCAGAGAGGAAGGCAGGGCCACAGTAAGAAACGTGGGCTTACTTAGCCCCATAATAAATATAGCCTTTGGAAGAGCTTAAGCAAGTAAATTACATCATCAGTTCATGTTTCAATCCATGTCCCTGGTGAGGAGACAGAGAGGCCAGAGAGCAGACTCTCAGGAGGAAAGAGTGGAATGAAAGAAGGAAGAGAAATCTGCTGATACTAGGATGTCTCTCACAGGGCACTGTAGTGGAACCCAGCAGACAGTGTTTGTAAGTTCCTAGAAATGAGGATTTGGCCTCTAAGACATTTTGCCACCTTGGTTCCAGGCAAGCAAACAGCAGTGGATTATAACATCATCCTGGAGGGAGAGGCACATAATTGTTTGCAATAATTTTATTCTCTTCATTTCGCTTCAGGTTGGTTCAGCTAGTGAGGCACATGATTTCCCATCATGCATAGCACAAATTGCTGCAAAAAGACCGTCTCTCCACACCAAGCCAGTGTGACAAGGGTCTCACTCCATTCTCTCTGAGCACCCCCCTACACACACACACACACACACACACACCTTGGACTCCTCCTCTAACGGTCCTCAGCTGTGAGGTTAATGTTCGATAACAATCAGAATTGTCCAAATATTGTTCCTACTAATTAAAAGACCATAGCAACCTGTGTTAGAGAGGGCAGGATACAGATGTGTATGTGTAAGGGGTGGCTAGAATAAAATGAGTTATTATTGAATATCAGGCATAGCAGGCCAACTAGGAAATTGGAGAAGATAGAAGGAGCTGGAACTGTTAATACCTTGGGGGATTCCCGTGCCTTTGAGTAAACATCGCCTGGTGCTGTAAGCTGGAGAGGGCAGATGACGCACAGTCATTTGTCCACACCTGTTAGGCCAGGTATTAATAATTCACCCTGGAATGATGCAACTCCGGCGGTCAGAGCTGGTGACAGTCATTGGTCTTTATTCACAGCTTCCTAGCCCTCCTCTCCCAACCTGGCCCTTCCCCTTCCAAGCCGTCCCCTGCCTCCCCACTCACTTCCACTCAGTAACCTTAAACATTTCATGTCATGCTATCTGGAGAAATATTGAGTGTGGACATTTCCATTCCTGGAAATTCTGTGGTAGTATAGTTTAACTTTTGCATTTCTTTCCATTTTCTTCATAGCTCTCCATCAAGGAAGAGTCAAATTCAACGGAGGAGCAAAGAGCAAGCTCTCAGAATCTATTTACCCGTTTTCTTTTTCTATATAACAAACCGGTCTAATGATTTACATTTTCTCCCCCAGCTACTAAAAGTTTGCCAAAGGGTGGACTCCTAAGGGGACAAGTCATGTCTAAATTGATGTGTTTGAAGGAATTTTCTTGAAGTGCTAATCATTGACATATTTTCGATTTATTTTTTTTTTTCCTCTTTGCTGCCTTGGAATACGGCCCCTACTCTATTTTAACTGCACCCTGGTAGTGATATATTGTGAGTAACACGGGCTCCCAGCAGCCCGGAGTCCAGTCGCCCTGTCTTTCTCTAGCAGAGATCCTTCTTTTATTTTCTGTACAGTTTCAGTTACTTTGTTTCTTTTGGTATTTATGTTGCATGTAGTAGTGACATCACGCCCCCACTCCCTCATCCAACACAGTCTGCAGAATAGCCCGGAGCTGGAGAACCCTGAGAGCAGGACCCCGCTCCGTTCACCCACCCCAGCCCCCAGCTTCTTGCCAGCTTCTGGCGCTGTCTTATTTTTCCATTTGAAAATAAGACCTTGACAACAGTGTTTCTCTTGAAGGCCTTGTCTCGGGACCTTTAGGGGACACTGAGTAGTCTGAGGTAATTACCACGATAGCTCTAGATGCCTCTTCTCTTGGGGGTCATTGTCATGCTTGCCTTTGATAAATTACACTTGGTCTCCTCGGCTATGGAGCTTGAATCCCTATCTTGAAGGAAACACATATGCTGTATATATATATATATATATATTCCTGTGTTGTGATATATATATGATATGTACCTGTACTTTATATGTAAAAATGTACATTTTTATATATAAGTGTAGAGATATTTTATAGAGAGAGTGGCATATTTGTTACAACATATGTGCCTCTCTATACGAGAAAGTGCTTGCTCGAGAATTAGCTGGACACCCAACTTTGGGACTGTAAGTATCTAAACTACCTTACTGGAGACAAGTATTTCCACAGTGGCAATTATTTCCTGCAGTCTGTGAAGTTCCCTTGCTTGAAACTAAAGTTTCCCCTTCCATGAGTACCCACTAGGACATACCCAGTTCCTCGATGAGTGTAAGTCAGACATCTTGGAAGGTCCATTTACTTGTTTAAGGCAGAAAAGATGGCTCCAGGAGAATGTTCAGCTTCCTTCATGAGCTCTGTACATGTCTGAACAAGTAAATGCAAGTCTCTTAGCCGCTCACTCAAGGAGTAGGACCCCTCTCACCCAACACGATGTGACAGTTGACGAGGAGCTTTTAGGGCCGGCATTTCTGTGTGTGGCTTAGAGCAATGCAGCTTTCAGAGGCACCAGAAAGGAGCGTGGGGTCTTGACTCGTGTGCATAAGACCACTGAACCCTGCAGATAAGTTCAGCCCAGCGGCCCTGGCATTTGGAGAAGATGTCTCAGCACACGTCCTCTTGTTGTCCTCTAGCAGCAGAAGAGGCAAGTCTGTCACCTGGTTTGGGCTGGTCTTCAGAGTTTGAGGGTACAGAAGGCTCAATGTACAAGCAAAACAAAACAGTGACCTTCTCCAAGCCTGTGCATGATTCTGCCAGAGTTGACTCTGCGGCTCCCTTTATCTGCAGAACACCTTCAAGGATGGCTCGAGGGCATGAGCCACTTGTATACCTGCAGAGCTGCCTCCAGAATCTAACGATCCTTCAGAATGGAGAGAAACCATGATGTCAATCAACAGACAGCTCTAGTGCCAAATTCTTCTTCCATCTCCAGCCACAGTATGGTGCTGAGGGCAGGAACAACTAGCTTGAGCGCTCTGTGCTATAGACATTAACTAGCTTTTTCTCCCCTCTCTTTCCGTTCTGGGAAAAACCACCTGGAAGATCTTTCTTCTCTCTCCCGAAGCTATTAGGAGGAATTTTGCTAAGTGAAGACATCATTTCTCATTTATAGAACTGGAAAGAATGCTCTCTGATTTCCAGTGTCACATCAAACAAATGCCTCGGCCTCACACCTCAGTGAACTTTTTTTCCATGGATGTTTTTTACCTGTAATTTAGTTACCGTGAGCATCTGAAGAGCAGCTCCCGGGTTCAGGCTTGAAAATAATCCTTCCTGCATTGGATTGATTTTAAACATAAGGTTACGATCTAACAAGTTTCTATGACTTGAATGGCAGATTTCTTTTTCCTTCCACACCAGTCTTCCCCTGAATTTGCTCCATTGGAAACCTAAAATATTTTTCCCCCTGCAGTTGCAAAACTCCACCTGAGCCTCTCAGTCCAGCACTGCTTCACCTGCCCCTCCCAACCCACTCTGGAAATTAAGAGTCTGTGATTGGAAATTGGCAGACAATTTGGTTGCCGATACAGGAGGCAGATGGTGCTGAGAACAGGATGGAGTCCCACCCCCCCTTCCATTCCAGGCTTGGCTCGGAAGGGCCAACCAGCAGAGAACCTGAGTTTGACAGCTGACTATCAGTTCAACACAAGCAAAGAGCAGTAACTGAACTACATCACAGTAGCCACTGCTCCGCAAGTTTCCTCTCTTATGATTATGACCTTTGAAAATATTGGAAAAGTTGTCCAAAAGTAGTATTGTATATCTGAGAAACCTTCCAGTTTTAAACACTTAAGAGTAAACAGATATCTTTGATGATGCCCATTAGGGAATGTTGTCTCTATAAATAGCACTAGGAAGTCCTAATGGAAATATTGGATGAATATTCACTTCATTGTGGTGAAAGAAAGCGCATAAAAGCTTTTTCTCAAATTGTAAAACTGTTAGGAGGAAGGTGAGACTCAGGGTCTAATTCTTGGAAACCACATAACCCCTTTGAATCTGTGGCACCAATCCAAGAACAAGAACCTTATGATGTGGGCTAAAGAGAAAACCGAGTCCCTGGAGGCTTATATTTCAGCTTTCCCAGAGTTAAGCTGGCCTAGGGGGGCAATTAATTGAGCATAAAGTTCCAAGAGCCCTAAGATGGAATGACAAGTTGCTAGAGCATGTACACCAACCAGAGACACACTCTTGTCTGTTCCCTGTCTCAGGAAGCCGCAGTAGGGCTCTGAGGAGACCCAACCAGCTGGTGCTAAAGTGGTCCTTCTCTGCTGGCTGTGGCTGCAGAGGCAATGTGCCTGCGAGTTGTCATTTTTGACCACTCTAGGACAATCTTCTAGAACCTCTCACCCCTTTGTCCCAGCTGCCTCCTAAAAATATGCTGTGAATTGTGAGAAGCCATTGTACTGAAATGACACTGCAGACGTTTCAGTTCTCAGAGGCACACGGGGTCCTCCACTTAGGGCTCCCTTTTGGAGGGAGCTGGTTCAGGTCTGTCAACTAGCTGCTTTTCCACACAGGTCCACTAGATGTCCTCATAGATCTACTTTGTACTGCCATTGAAATCTTGGGGAAAAAACGTTCTCTTCTGAGGATTGGGATTTGGGAAGAGAGCATTGGGTGGCTCCGTAATAAGAAAATCAGCAAACACCAAAGGAGAGAGGGCACTTTATGTGGCCAGGGAGTAGATATGAAATTTACTTCTGTTTTAAATAAATACTGAAACTTTCAAAGTTGCTCTTTGAAACCTAACCTTGGGAATTTTAAATGGCACTCTGTTATCTGAAATTAACCTTCTAACCTACATCAGATCTAGAAAAGGAAACAATCACAGAGAAATGGAAATAAAATACCAGCAGTTCTGAATATCCATGATTCACTAAAACAAAACCAAAGGATAAGGAAGCCGGAGAGAGAGAGTTTGAGGGAGATGAGGGGTAGTATTTTTCAGATTAGGAGGTCCACAACTTAATTTTGATGTCATTTTATTTTACAACTGGAGACTATAATTTTATACATAGAGCATCTACATCGTCTGTAACAGCTACCACCAGGGAGTCAGACCCTCATCCGTTTTTAGTTAAAGAGCTTGTTCACGTCTCATATAATGGCCCAAAGGAAGACTCTTCCTGTTGGGACACACGTCCTTCAAGCCTGATGGATCACTCCACCAGATGGGAGGTCAGAGTGGGACTTACCTTTTAAGAAAATGGACCCAGAAGTAAATAGGTGAAGACATCTGACAGGGGGTCAATGTAAATGGACTCGTCCAGTAGTAGAAAAAAAGAGCCACCCTCCCACTTGGTGGCACCTTGGTCTAGACATTACAATTTACCAAAGTTTGTCAACGTATGGGGCTCAATCATTTTTAACTGTTTCTGTCTTGTCTTTGAGCCTCTCATTGATCATTCTTGCCAATTTTTTTTTTTGTGGTGGTGCTTGTTTGTCTTCTGAGGTTTCTATTTTGTATTTGGTGTGAGTGTAAAAGCGATGACTGGGGAGGAATGACGAGTAATAGCATGTTTCCTTTTTTATGCATATGCTGCTTTGGAATGTGACTGCTTATAATTAACATTTAATCTTCTTATAGCAAATGGTTTTTTGCTGCTTCGATTACCAGTTTCAGCCTGTTCCTGCATGCTAACAATATGAAATTTTAGAACAATGCATGGTCTCCAAAACAGCCAAGAATAACAGTTGCAAACAGTCCCTGAGAGGTACTGGTTTGAAGTGGTGTTTCCTCCTGAACCCTTATCAAGTAGGAGGTTTAAATCACCCATTACGATGGGTTTACCTCTGACAAAATCATTTCAAAAGTTATTCCACCCCCATTCTCCCTCCCTTTGTCCTTAAAGAAGGTAGATATAGATGTATCTATATATCTATATATACATATCTAGATGTATCTAGATATGTATGTATATGTATATATATATATTCTTTCTCTATAAATGTGTCAGATTCTATTATTGTATGTGAACCCAAAATGACAGGATGAAAATGAAAACCAGGGACTGTTGCTAATGAGAAGCATAGCATTTCAGAGTTTGATGGGCTTCTCTTCTGCTACAGCATTTGATTAAAATTCTTTTTTCAAATCAATTTATCTACAGTGAAACAAACAAAAAAAATCATCTTCGTTTTCCTCTTCTGTATAAAGAACAAATCAATATTTCCAGTAAAAGAACTAGGAGAGAAAAAACAAGCAAGTGGTCTCCACGTTGCACACGAGATCTGGAGGCATTTAAAATCACTTTATTTTCATGTCTTCAGCCAAAGGCTTCTCTCCTTTTCGTGATGATTTCAACGACTGCTCTTTGGAGGTACCTGAGCATTCACAACTATGCCTTCTAAATTCTTCCAATTCAAATGCTATAGGAGAACTTTTATTCCCCGCCACCCCCTAAAAGCGAAGCTCAGGAATGATATATCACATCTTGAACAGGGCTGGGGCTGCATGATGATGATCTGAACAACCGACTAGCTAGGATGCTAAAAGAACATGTCACGAAAACTGTGAGCCAAGTTCACAGGAATGGAGTCACTGCTGAAGAGATCTCTCATTCATCTCCCCCAGTGCCTGTTCGTCACAATCATAACGTTACCCCTGCTTGACAAATATACTGTATGGCAAGTCATAAAGGTCTTAGAACAGGACTTGACCCATTTGAGAGATTTAAACCCCTCTTCCTGGTGGCTGTAACATTCAAAGAGGGCAAAACCACAAGCCGTATTTTAAAGGAAAAGAAGCACAGGCATTCTCCATGAAGAAAAAGAAAGGGAGGGGAAATATGACTTTCGACACGGAAGGTGCGGGTGCAGGGAATAACTCCTCTCTGTAGTTCAGGTTACTATCTGGCTGTGCTGTTTGGAATGAGTATGAATTCTTCTCCCTCCTGTGAGAGAAGCAGGCCGGTTCCGGCTAAGTGATAAGCAAACGTTTTTGCCTGTTGTAGCGTCAGAATGAGGTACAAAACGCTTCTCGTTGCACTGAACTATGAATTGGCTGGAAAGGTAAAGGTGAAGGGCATTCACGGTGCAGCGGTGGCCAGCAACTTGGGTAGGCTAGCGCTCGAGTTGGGTCCCCAGGCCACGTGGAGCCCTGGACACTAGCTTTAGAAGCTCTATCAATGTGGCATGCAAGCCTCAACATGATCTTTTACATGGGCTCTTTTATTTCATGTTTTGTCATTTTTAATCTAGTTTGACCAGTATTTTCTGTATAAGAAAAAAACTTATGAAAACCCAATAGCCCGGTTGCTTTCTGAATTTTTGGTGGGCGAGGTGCGATTTTCAGATTCTCTCAGCTTTAAGCCAAAAAGACACCCATGAGTAGCTAAATGCATTCCAATAGACCAACTTCTCATATGCTTTGGGTGATTTTTTATTTTTGAACTGCCTTTAATGTCAAACACGCAGCGTTAGCCTTGAGTAGCTGCATTTCTTATATGGACAGATTTGGATATTTGTTCTGTCAAGAGTAAATTTAAATTCCTGTAGGCATCATGTAAACTCACTCTGGGGAAGTTGAGCAGAGGCATCCTCAGACTCTATATTAACACGTAATCGTTTTACATCTAATTTGATGAAAGCTTGTCCCAGCCTCTGCCTAATGCCCAGAAATGGATGGAAATTAGAAAGCCTACATATTAGATAGTTTTTGCATCCTGCAAAAACCATTTATTGTACCAAGTAAGCAATGGATTGATTGGCTCTGTGTCTATTTTGTCCTCCTGTATTAATTGTGCCAGGGGAAGAAATGGTGGTTACATTTTTTTGCTGTCTGTAATGTGCTCTTCTTCTCATCCAAGAACCCGATTGTAATCAGCCATGCCCTTTTCCTGTAGTCACCCACTTCACCTAGGGGAGAAAAATCACACAACAGCCTTGGAGGACTGCCAAGGCAATTTATATTTTCGCTGCTATTTTTTGGATGTACAACCAAACTGTTACGAGCAGTCACTCTGCATTTTTTTTCTGGGTCAAGACTGTTACTGTGAACTAAGACCTGTGTTCAATCCCTTCAGCTCCCTTCCGGCCGCCTGGCTGTGCGTGACCTTGCCATTAACTACCGCTCTTCCTCTCCTCTCATCCAACCCCATGGTTATAGCCAAGATGTCCATCTACAAGAGAATGAGACGGGCATGTTGTTTTGATTGCGGACGTTCTGAGCGTGACTGCTCGTGCATGTCAGGCCGTGTGCGTGGTAACATGGACACCCTTGAGAGAGCCTTCCCACTTTCTTCTGTCTCTGTTAATGATTGCTCCACCAGTTTCCGTGCCTGTAAGTTGAACCCCAACACACGCAGTTCCATGTCTGTGCTGTCTGTGGTATCATCCCCGTCTTGTGTCGTGCCCTGTGGTTCTGTGAGTCCATTGAGCTGATGTGTTCTTCCCAGTGTGACCTAGTATGTGGTGAAATGTCGCCCGGTTGCCTGTGTCACTGTGTACATGCTGGGGAAGGCCTCCCTCTCCGTTCTGTTAACTTGTGCTTCTCGAAATAGCTTGTAGGACTATGATAGTACAGTCTGGTGATAAATCTCCCGCTCTCCTTTAAATACATATAAATGGAAATTAATGTGACAGCAAATCAAAAACTGTATTAATACCGAGGTGTGTGGAAATATATATCTTAATATTTGGGGAAAGGTTACATATTGGATTCGGTCGAAGGGAGGGAGGTAACAAGTCTAGAGACAACAAGCCAACTCTAGCTAGCATTAAACTGTTTTTAGTGAGCTTAGGTAGCTTCCGAAATACAATAGGGTGTCGATGCAGATGGATACTTTTTTTTGCTGTGTCTCTCTAATCTGTATCTCATTCCTCCAGTGCCAGGTTGTAGATCCCTCCCCACTTCCCCCACTCTAAAAACAAAGAATGATTGAAAGGATCATTCCACTGATATCTTTTACTTTTCCAAAAGTGTAGCCCCCTGTTTAAGGTATCTTGTAGTAGCTATGATTCCAAATAACCAAAACTGTAAGCCACGAACCTCCATGGATTCCTTGAGGCTGTTGCATGGGCCTTTGAGGTCCATCTTCTCTGTCACCCATAAGCTCAGTGATATTAGAGAACCGGGCAAGGTCTTGCAGGCTGGCAGCTGGTGAAGCTGAGATACACTAGATTCCTGAGAGCCCCTCATCCTTGTCTTCAGCATGGACGTTACTGGTGTTTTATGGACACAGTTCATAGGTGATGTTCCTGAAGGCTCCAGCATGTACACAGAGATCCTGGGATATGGGTCCTTGTCTAAGGGCAGAACGGGCTGTGGTTCCACAGGAGAACCTGGGTGCCTTACAGTGTGGCTGTAACCTTATTCTCACATTTTTGGTATCGTGGAAGAGAGAAGATAATTCTGCCTTTTGTGCTTCATCCTTTTCTCTTGAAAGTACCCAACACATTTACTGGCGACCATATTGCCATCTTTTCTCTCTCCTCTGTGCCCAGAACTGCTGGTTGCATTACATTTTCAGCAGCAGGGTTTAATTCACACTGGCAACAAGGGTGGAGCAGAGCACTTCCCACCTCAGCATTTGCTCCCGTGTAAAACTTGCTTGACTTCCCTGAGCCGTCATTGAAGGTGGTCCCTGCACGATCCGTAGAGGCTTCTAGGGCCGAGGGAGCCCGAGCTTCCCTGCGTGCAGTGGAGTGGTGTGTCAGGCCAGGTGCTGGTGTTTGTACCTGCAGTTCAGGTCTGAGGAGTGATCTGTGCATCGAGCTGTCTTAGAGTCATCTGGAAAGGTTAGACCTGTGACCAGACTATCATGCTCTCGGACTCGTGACTCACTGCCTCTCGATAACAATGCCAACAGACAAGATTCATTTGTAAAAGTGATAGCTAATGGAAGTTGTATTGAGAGGGATTTGGGACTGTCTAAATCTTGCCTGGACATTGGCCTAACACGGAACTTTTTAGAAAGAAAGTTTCCTTTAAAATCTTTCTTACAGGTGCCACAGTATGAACTCTTACCCCTTCATTTTCATTGTAAGCATTCTCTCTCATCATATGACACTACCAAGGTGGACTAGGACACAGCCACACAAAGAATTTGTCTATGATGTGCAGCAAGATACCAGCTTCAGAGACCGAAGAGCAAAGGGGTGAGCGATGGTGGCACAACTCGGCCACGTCGCTTTGATTGGTTGTGGGGAATGTCACTACCAGCCACTGCGTTAACCCTCCTGCCGAAGGCACAATTTCTGTTTTCACGTAATTACTAGGCTCTAAAACCTTGGTCAGCGATTCAGTAGAGAAAAAGAAGGAGCCACTCGGGCTCTAAACTAGGGTGTGTGGTCATGTTTTGGCACTGGCCACCCATACCAAGCGCAGCAAAATCCATGTCCCCTGCGTGAAGCCCAGCATGTATAATTTCCATTTCATCCAGGAGAAACCATTCTTGGAGGGGTTTCTCGGCTCTGCAGTTTAAGCCAAGCGTTGTTGGAGACCAGGAGAAGAAACACTTGGGGTAGGATCGTCCTGTCCTCTCAGAAACATCCCGTGGATGAGATTGTTGTCCTTCCTTCTTCCCCTCCAAAATGAGCCCCACTGTGGAAAACATGGGGCTTTGGCCTGTGTGTTGAAGCCTTAACTGGTATTGACAGCTCAGGGGTGGGGTTTGCCTCCTCCGTTTCATCGGTCTTTCCGCCCTTGTCACTCCATCAAACAAAAGCAGATTTCATCTATCCCTGTGTGAGACCACTCACCTTTGACCATTAATAATAAGTTAGAAAAATCCATTCCAATTTGAGCCCCTTTGTGTGCCCACATAAGCCCTTCTTCTCCAATTAAAAAATGTCTGTCTCTGTGCGGAATTCTGCTGGCAGAACTCCAATGGCAATCCCGTCCCTCACTGGTGGTGGGGTTGGGTGGTGCCCGTTTGACAGAGCTGGTTGACTCAAAGAGCAGTGGTGAGAGTGGGCTTTTCATTAAATATGAGCAGATGTGAAATGTAGAGGGTTTGACAATTAGAAATGGCAGGAGAAGGGCCCTTGAATCAAAGTGAGGTCAGATGGGCGGATCAGATTACTTCTGTTACATTCTTTGGTTGTTCTGAAAATCATTTTGAATTAGTGTCAGCAGAGCCATGATGGGTTTTGCCCTTTGTCTTTTATGCTGGGGCTGTATTGTTTCCCAAGACACTCATTAAAGGTCATTATATTATTACGGAGCTTGCTTTGGTCGCAGTTTCCCAGTTGAGCCAGTGTGCATTGGAGACTGCCTAATTCGTTTCTCTCTTGCCTTTCGTCTCCCTCTTTACTACCTTTTTTTTTTTTCTTATAAGGGGAAAGATTTAGGTTTTCAAGGGACATTAAATTGAAACACAAAGTCCCATTATGTGTTTTCTGAAGTGGGAAGAGAAGTAGCTAGTTCCCAGAGGAGTGGTAATATATGAAAAGCGTTCACACAGTTTTAGAAATCTGCCTTCTGACAGCGGGACCTGCCTGGTCAGCTTACCTCTCCTCAGAGGTGTGGCCCCTTCCCGCCTATTGGCTGTTAAGTCACATACGCTTCTCACCTTTGTCTCCTTCTATTGTAAGGCCAGACAGCGCTGACAAAAAGATCCACAGAGAAGTAGGACTCCTTTACAAAAGACTTCAAACACAGTGTCAGAAAAGTAAGGCAAAGAGGGACCAATAAGGATTCATCACAAGACTGTTCTATTTCGGGCAAGACCGAATTACTCAATATGGCAGACTTCGATAGGTGTATACATAGCACCACTGTCTGATTAGTCCCATTCTATTTCCACTTCAGATGATCCTGGGCCGGAGCACCAGCTCTCTTAAAACACACGGATGGTATGGGCCCCAGACTTTTCACAAATAGCTATGTTCTGGCATTATCAAATATAAAAATATATGCCGAGCAACATATGTATACATAAATACAGATTTAGGTTCTAATCAGTTCCATTTTCCCTCGATATAATTTTGTAAAATGGTGCTTTTCCTCTGCTACAAATTTATTCTTATTTCAGTCTTGCCTGCTATCTGACTGCTACATCTAACAGAAAGGGGCAATTAAAATTATGATGCAGAAACAACATAGGGCCCTATTGATTCAAACCTGCTGAGACCTGCTTGACAGGATGCTGGCCACAAACCATCAGTAACCCTGGCATGAACAAATTAATCATGTGCTAGAAGAGAAACAGATCTTTAGACTTGCACTTGGAAATAGTTTTAGCTGGAGTACATGTGTGATCACTCACACCAACCTTTCAATTTACTAATAGTTTAAACCTGCACAATTACAGACACCCTGTCCCAAACTACTGTAGCTAATTTTAAATTGCACATGACTTTTATTTCGGGCATACATATAATACAAGGAGGCATTCTCCTCCAGTGGTTAGGATGAGAGAAGTCCAATATGATCAGGTTGAAGGGAGACAAACCAAAATCAGTTTAGTATAATCTTGAGTCTTGTCAGATATAAACAAAAATCAGCTTATCCGGAGTAGCTTTGGTTTGTACAGGCCGAGAATTAACGTTGTCAACGGAACTAAAGTCACTCAAGTGAACTAATGGCATTTTGAAGTACATAAAATCAGATACTAGGGCAGGCGGTGGAAATAGCTCTAGGAAAAAGTCTATAATGGGACACACCCTATGCTGACAGTCTCCAGCGCCTGTTAAAGGGAGATTTAATTTAATAAGCTGCATTTAAAAATCTACAGCCTATCATTATCTCATTCCTTCTATGTATAGTTTTGGGTGACGTCCTCAAGCTCCTCAACCCTAACATTTATTTTATTTCTAGGCCCTAGAACCAAAGACTATCTCTTCCCACCACCACCATCAGTGATAAAAAGATAGAGAAAGGAAAGTCAGCCTAAATCGTTTTACTCAGTGTTCCATGTATGCTTTTAAGCCCATTCATTCTGGGTCTGCAGTTTCTCCCATTTTATCATGCATGCTGGTATAATACACCTCTGTCTGTCTGTCTGTCT